ATAAAAAAAAAAACCTTTGAACAAAACATATTCTTAAATCACAGATTATTTTGATGCACACTGGTCACCTCCAAAGTCATATTAGCCTGAAGTCATTTGAAATACTATAGGAGGCTATAATCAAGGAAAAAGCTATAATCTTCTTCCAAAGGTGACTACCTGAGAAATAAATTTTTTAAAAAAGATGATTTGAAAACAACATATGTTTGCAAACAAAAACATCTGTTGCTAAAACATTAGACTGAAACAAAAGATAAAATCATTGCAATTACAAAATAGCAGTAATACTCTATGTCAAGCTGTTTCTAATATACTAGTACCTAAGGAAAATCATTGCCTAGGGAAGACAGGCTTCCCATTAAGAGCTAAGCTTTCAATTTAAGTTAGGAAAAGAGAATAAACTCAAATATCAGAACAAAAAATAAAGTTGTGGTAAGAAAATGAGCTAACATTTTTCATGGCCCATTTATAAAAATGAAATCTATCTACTAATCACCTTAAACAATATTAAGAAAAATAAAATAAAAGATGATGGTTTTGTTGTTCTCTATTAGCAATATTTTGAAGAATATAGTTTTACTGGTAAGTGTTCATACAAGAAAACTGAATTAATTTTGAAAGCTAATGGTATAGGTATTTCAACTAGAGGCAAGGAACTTTCCCCCCATCTGTTTTTATGAAATAATTTGCTCTAATTTATCTTGCTCCAAAGCTTTTCATAACGAGTAAGGTCCTCTTTTTAAAACCAAGCATTTTTAAACTTCCTCTCAAAATTTATCATCTTTTACAATTTGGTATTCAGAAATTTAAGAATTATTTTCATATTTTCAGGAGCTTATAAAGGAACCTAAGTAGAAATTGATTAACATGTATAACCACATTACAACAAAGACTTCTAATTATTAAGTATAACCATAAAAGATCTATGAATGCATTCATGTATTTCAAGGCATTTGCAACTGTTTGTATATAAAAGTATTTATGTTACACAAATATTTTACCCAAACAGTTTTTACTGTGAATAGTGAAAGGCACTGGCCAGCTCCCTATCTCTGATATTTCTTAACAACATCCAATTATCATCAAGAATATCAAAACTTTTTTTAATTGCAATGGCATTGTACCAAAGCTAATGAGGGTAAACAATTTCCAATAATTTAAACAATTCATATGACTAGTAGGAAATAAAAATTAATACTAATGCTTACTAATAGTAATACAGATTACAGACCTGATATTTGATTTTAACATATAATCCAGAATTAACTACTTATTGACTTCTTTTTGTAGAAATTTTAAATATTATAATCAATCAAGCATACTAAATGTGACAAAGAGAGTTTTGTCTGCATTTTCAATTCTTGTATGTTTAATTTCATTTTCTTGCATTCAATGGCAACTATGACTTCAAAAAAACATTGAAAATGAAGTAGAGTTTGAGATTGGTTCATTGTCTAGTGCTGGGATTGGGGATATGAATGCTACACTCTCCTTAGGGTGGGTAGCCTGCATACAATATAAGCCAGGAAAACAAGTTTGTTTCTCTCTTTTGCTCTTGTTGCTTTTGCTGTCTTCTGCTTCTAATGAACTGTTGTTCTTCTACCTTGCAGCCAGTCAGTTGTGGACTGAAAACCCTACAAACTGTTAGTGGAATACACCTTGCCTCCTTTAACTTTGGGTGTTATGTATTTTGTTTCAGCAATGAGAGAAAAGTAACTAAGACACCTGTAAATAGGAAGAGTATATGTTCTTTATCTCTTCAAGAGATTTTACAGAAGAATATTATTTATTTCTTCCTTCAATGATGTGTAGATATCAATAAAGACATTTTAATCTGAGTTTTCTTCATTAGAAAAAATCTATTCAATTGTTCTGCTAGTTGTAGAATCATTCAAGTTTTAAAAACTTCTTTTGGATAATAACTTGAAAATATTTTGTAGGAATTTGCTTTTAATTTACAATTAAATAATATTCTTTTATTCTCATTGTAATGTATAAACCATATATGGTAACAATATGGTACCAATGGTACCAATATGGTAACAATAATTTCTTCTCTCAAAAATGAAATAGTTGTATTTTCTTTATTATTTTTGTTTTTCTTCTTTTTCTACTGCTGCTTTTTGAAATCAGTTCAAAATAGCAATGTTTTTATACTCACTGATATTTTATTTTCATGTTATCAGTTTCAATTTTTATTGTTTTCTTCTTTAAGTTCTCTTTTATATACTTTTTTTCTAACCTCTTGTCATAATTTATGTCAGTGGCCCCCAAGCCTCATGCAATTATGCCTTTGTGATTGGTACATTGTCTAGCGCTTAGATTGTTGGTGTGAGAGCTATACCCACCTAAGGGTGAGCCACGATATAATGTAATGACAAGAAAAAGGTGTGTCTGTCTTTCTTGCTCGTTTCTACCTTGCATTTTACAGCAGCCATAAAATGCTGTTTCGCCATGCCATACTGCCTTGGAGTAAACTAAATATAAACTAAAACCTCAAAAACTATAAAAAATAAACCTCTACTTCCTTCAGTTTGAGTATCATGTATTTTGTCCCAGCAACATATAAAAATAACTAAGATGGAATTTGGTACCAGGAGTGGGATCATTGCTATGACTATATCTGATCACATGGTTCAACAGTCTTTAGAAATGGCTTGTGGAAAGAGTTTGGAAAGATTCAGAGATGTCACCTAAATACATACAGCTGAAACATTTTAGGCTGCTCTGTAGGGGAGATTCTGGTCAGAGCTCAGAAGACCAGAAGGCTGATAGAAAGCCTGCTGGTAAAGACCAAACTTGGGAGGTTTCTTTTCGGAAGAAGGATGGCATTGCTTGTTGGACTCTAGACCATGGTGTTATGGCTTGGCAGAAAGTTTGTCTGTATTTTGTTCATGTCCAGAGACTTTGCCTGAGACTGCAATTAAGGGTGGAGGAATGATTAATCTGGCAAAAGAAATTTCAGAACAGCCAAATGTTGAGGCTGTGGCATGGCTATTATTGGGGGTTTTTAGCCAGATTTATGTTGCAAATCAAGAGCAAAGAGCCAAGCAAGGTAATTTAAAATGCTGTGAGTTTGGCCAGAAGGAAAATTCCAGTAAAGTTGTAGATTATAGAGATACAGCTAAGACTTTGATTGCTGAGAAAAAAAATTTAAAAGAAAAAGTAGGTCTCCACCCTTTGCAGCCTCAAAACTGCAAAAGTGAAAGACTTCACTTAGAGGAGAAAGTTGCAGAGCACCATGCTCCAGAATGGCAGCAGAGGCCACACGAGGTTCCAAAATGGTGGCAGCCATATGAAGTTCCACAATGGTGGCAGCCATATGAGGTTCCAAAATGGCAGCAGCCACACCAGGTTCCAAAATGGTGGCAAAATAGAAAAGCTTTTTCTCACAATCAGGTTCACAGAGCTCAGCAATCCAGGCAGTCAACCCTTACAGCCAAGGAGGAAAAAAAGCCTGGCCACTGCTCCAGTTGGCAGCAAATCTTGGTGGCATCCATGTGGCACTGATTTTAGATACAAAAAATACACAAATTCTGAGGGTAAAACAGCTCCCACAAAAGGCCTGAGAGGCCAAACAGTGTGTTCCTGAAAGGACAGTATATCAAGAAATGAAGAGAAAGCCAAAGGTACAGTAAAAACCCCAAAAGTTTAAAAAAGCCAAAAACATAGATCATTCCAAAAAAAGCTGCAAAAACAGAGCAAAGGGAATGTAAGAGAGAAGCTGAGGGAGCTAAAATTCCTAAAAGCCCCTTGACAGTAAAGTCACCTAAGCCTTTTAGAGCTTACAACCAGATTGCTTCAAATGCCGAGCATAAAACTTAATGTTCACCTTACTGGATGTTAGACTTGCTTTGTTTGCAATTCTTTGTATGCCTCTGTTTATAACTTTTAGATTGGTAATGTTTTATCTTGTGCCTTTGCATTTTAGAAATGTTGAACCTTGTTTCATTTATAAAGGGGTTACAGTAAAGAGTTGGCCATAAATCTAAATGAAAACTTAAGACTTAGACTTTTCAGCAATGCTAAAACGGTTAAAACTTTGGCAACTCTTAGAGATAGACTAAATGTCTTTTATACAAAAGATGTGCATGAGTCTTTGGGGGCCAGGTGTAAAATGTCATGCCTTATCAATGGCCTCCAAGCTTCATGCAATTATGTATTTGTGACTGGTTCATTGTCTAGCACTTAGATTGGTGGTATGAGTGCTACACTGGCCTATGGGTGGGGCCAGGATATAACATAATGACAAGAAAAAGGTGTGTCTCTCTCTTGCTGGTTTCTGCCTTGCTATTTACAGTAGCCATAAAGGGCTGCTTCGCCATACCATGTCAACTAAATATAAACTAAAACCTCCAAAAACTATAAAAAATAAACCTCTCTTACTTCAGTTTGGGTGTCGGGTATTTTGTCCCAGCAACAAATAAAAAATAATTAAGACACCTCTTTAGATAGCTAGCTCATTCATTTTTAGTCTTTCTATTTTGTACTGTAAGCACTTAAGACTAAGAATTTTCTTTTAAATACTATTTTGGTCATATTTTACAGGTTTGGTATTGGATATTTTTACAATTATAACAAAAGAATTTCTAATTTTTAATATAATTTCTTCTTTTTAATATAATTTCTAATTTTCAATATAATAAAATAAACATTTAGCTATGTATTTTTAAATTTTAAAATTTCTTCATGGCTATATTAAACATGTAGTCCTATATTTTTAGACTTTAAATGTGTGACTTTTCATGCTTATCTTTCTGATACTGACTTTTAATTTAATTTTGTCATATCTGAGAATATAATTTGTATTATTTAAACCTTTTTGTGGCATTTACATTTTAAAATTATAATTTTAAAAATTCTTAGTGAGCAATCTTTATTAATTTTCTGAATATCTGAAGAATGAAATAGGAATAAATGACAGAGAAAATTATATTTGACAATAATCAACATTTTTGCTTATAGAAATCTAACATAGAACTTGTGATGCTTTAAAGTACCTTCTCCCCTGGGGTCACAGAGATCCTCCAGATGCAGTGTGTGTAAGATGGGTAGCCGTTCGGGAATCCTGGAGAAGAGAGATTGCCATTGGAGTCCTGTAGAGTTTCTCCACAAGCTGAAAGCAAAAAAAGACAATTCTTTACTTTCTTTATAAAGAGCCTAGATAACACTAGCAATATTATAGACAGTAGTATATATTTGTATTTTACAAAATAATCTTTTAAGTATTTTTTATCTCTCTCTTACCAGAACTTCAGTGCCCTTGATGGTATCAGTACAGCTAACCATAATACAAAACTATGACACAAATAATCTTATAACCATAAACTACTCGCTTATTCATTGCCAGTAGTCAATTTAAAGGGCATGCACAATGAAGTTCAGGTCAGTGAATATTTTGTTGCTGTGGCTCTGGCACCAGGAAATAGCCCATTAATACATCCCATGTGGATTGAGACAGCATTTAACAGTGAGTATCATATGGAGGTTTAAAAATTTTAAATGAAAATTAGTAAGTAATCAATAAAGGTGGCATTGAAATATCATACATGATGAACTGTTTTAAAAATGAGAAAAATAGTGAAAGGTAAATAAAGAAGGAACATTCAGAAATAGCAAAAATCTAAATATTTATTGTCTCTTTTATGTTGATCAGGCATAGAAATTGCTTAGAAAAACTAGTACTTTTGTTTTTACTGAGCAGGTTTTATTCCTTGGATACAATTATCAAGGTATTTGAGAAAGCAAATTGTTGGCTGCACTGCGTTAAGATTTGCATTTGGCCAAAGCCACTGACAACATCAATGTATTTTAGGTTGTACCACTGCTTTTTGCAAGACAGGGTTGGAGCACAGGGTTTTTCCTTATTCATAATGATTCTACCAATGCAGCCAGTTATCTTTATAACCTCCACTCAACACACTACAAGAACAGCTCCTTTTCCCTGAAGGAGACCGTGATCAAAACTGAGATATTACCATATCCCATGCCAGAGCTACCAGCAGGTGAACTCTCATCTCATCCAGTCCTCAATAAATTATAAATGGGACTGCACATCTTGTGTTAGATAAAGAAAGGAAGATAATGGCTCCGAAAGCATAAAACAGAGCTATAAAAACAATCTGACACAATATAAATATTTATTCAGGAAAAGAGATATTACGGTTTGCACTACAAAATAAATGCAATTAGGAGTGAGTGAAGTTTCTTCTGATGAACCAGGAAGGTAAAAGAAAACTTAGCTCAAAATGAAAATCCTCAAGGTCAAAAATGCATAATTTAGCACTGTTCTATGCCTTATCTAGGACACTAGATAAATGCCACATTACAAGAAGCCTTAAAAAAGTGAAAATGTGTTAAGATTTTTCTTAATATAAACAATATACTTTAAGTAGCATCAGTTAATTGTGTTTCGGTGAAAATGTTACAGTTTACAGCAGCTTAAAAATTAATTCTCTAAACCAAAAAGAATGCTGGCACTGTACTTTTGTTGAAGTACAACTGAAGAATCAACTAACCTATAAATATAAATGATACTGTTATGATTAAAAAGAAATGCTCTTACAGCACATAAAGGAAAATATAACATATAATTCAAAGTGCAGGTCCATAAAATAGTGCCTACTTATACTATAAAAGGTACAAACATCTGAAACTTGGGTAATCACTCGTGAATGTTCTTCAATAAATGTGACTGTTCCAAGCTACATGCAACATAATTATCCGAAGGCTACACTTCCTAGTACCCTAGATGCTTCAGCGTTTCCTGCTGTTTTCCGATTTATGTTCAGATATTTAAAAACTTTATTGCTCAAAGAACTAAAAGGAAATTTAAAAAGAAAGGAGGGTGCTGTTGAATTAAAATTGTCTGTCTGTCAACAGCAGTAAGGGGACAAAGAGACAAATTTAAGTGCTCAGATTGGCATTTATCAATCTCATCATCACTTTCATAAGGTTTTTTTGTGGAAGCCAAATAGGCTGTCTTCTTTATCCTTAACTGTCTTTGCGGGTGAGGAAAATCAATGATTGTTGAGGAAAATTATGTTTTACAACTCTTTGCCGAGTGATATTTAAGAAAAGCTTATACAAAGAGACAAACTATTATGATCAATCGTTCAGTAAAAATTATAGCACCACAATTAATATTAGGTAAATCTTAGAAGCAGCAAAAATAACAATCAACAGATGAATGGATAGTGAACATGCAGTAGATATCCAATGTAGTAGCACTAGGTCATAAAAAGTGATAAATTTGAGTTATTTGTAGGAAAATGAATGTACCTTGAGATGGTAATGCTAAGTGAAATGAATCAGATGAAGAAAACTAAATATTGCATCGTTTCTTATATAAGGAACCCAAAGTATAAATGACTTTAAAAGAAAAATGAAAGATAAATATTGTGGTGAAGGGGAAGGGAATCTGGAGATGGCAAGACAGAAGCAGAGGCAAATTGAAGCAAAATGGATTAAAATGTGATATATATAATCTATATATGATATTTATATATAAATATATTCCACATGATGTAAACATTTGTTATGTACTATAAAGCAAAAACATGCACTAGTTGTAAAAATGAAAAAATTACTTCTGAAAAGAAGATATAAAAATCAAAACCACAAGCATAAACATAAAATAATCATTATTATTTGACCCAGATCACTGTTGAACTAGATAATGTACATGTATCTTCTTTAACATGGAAACTTTGCACTTGAATTGTATAAACATAATTTAAATGATGTATTGTTGAATAGTTGTTATATATTCTCATCCTTTTAAGGCAGGTTTTAATTTGCAATAGACTATGCCAACTCCTACAAATTATTCTTTTCAAATATCTATAGCACTAAACAAATATCAGAAGTTGAGAATTTCACTTTCTCCATATTTTTCAAGAATTCATTTATAAACTGAGCTTGTGTCACAACTCTGTGCTACCAGCACTCTGGGAGACTGAAGCAGGAGGGTGAAAAGTGAGACCAGCCTGGGTAATTTATTAAGAATTTATCAGAAAATTTTTTAAAAATTGAAAGAGAGCTAGGGATGTAGCTCAACACAAAGGTCCTGGGTTCAATCTGCAATATAAAAAATTGTGTAATTTTTACTGAAGGTCACGTTAACCATGGTTGCTACACAATAATTTGTATTGAGTTAATGTCCAAATAAGTAGATAAACTCTAGTTTTAGGAAAGAAATAAAACATGTGTAATCAATGTAAGAATATTTAACATAAATTATTAATAAATCCATGACTTTTAAAGTTTTCAGCATTTAAAAAATTATGTTTTAAAATGATTTTTAAAATAAAATCTATAAAAGAAACCCAGAGCCATTAGCCAAGCAAGAATGGTAAGATAAATTGCTAGAAGATTTAACATGCATTCTTGTAGTAACTGCACAGCCATGCCTCTAGTCACTTATACGAAAGATTATTATCTTCAAAAGCTCTTTTATTTTTATAAATCAATTTTTATATCATTATTAAATTTCTATGCTAGGTGATTATGTAGTTTGCACTTTAGTTGTTCTCCAAGGCCTACGTGGTAAAGAATTGGTCCCCAATGTAGAGCTATCAGGAAGTGGCAGAAACCTTCTGAGATGGGGCTTAGAGGGGTTGTTAGTCACAGGTTACACACTCTGGAAGGCGATCTGGGACTACAGTCCCTTCCTCGTGCTCTCTGTGATTTTCCAGCCATTAGCTGAGCAGCTTTGCTATGCTGTACCTTGGTCATGATGTGCTGTTTTGCTGATGGCCCAAGCGGAAATGCATCAATCAGAGGTGGATCAGAATGTTCAAATGTGTGGGGCTAAATAAAATCTATCTTTTTTATAAATCATTTATCTCACGTATTTATTATAGTAATCCGGAGCCTAAGTAACCCAGTAACTAAGGAAGACTGAGAAAACTAGAAATGTGGAAAATATTCGTATTAATACTTGGTCTAAATTAAAAACTAGTTTTATGCACAAAGGTCATTTTAGAAAAACTGAATGAAGACAAAATGCAAATAAAGACCACGAGGAAGAGTTAAATTAAGTATCTTAGAAATAAGAGAAATAAAAGTCTTAAAATTGCAGCAGAGAAAAATACATCTAGGAAATAAAATTCACAAGTGAAAAGAGTCTCAAAAAAAGAGAGAGAGAGAACAAATAAATCACAGAGAAAGAGCAGAGATGCTATAATTCAGGTGCCCTAGAAAGGATCATCTTCGTTAGCAAACTGCTAATTACTGGGATAAAGGACAATGGAGAGTTGTCATGGTGACCCATCTTTCACCCCATATGGATGTTTCCTGTCCTAACAAGATTTAGAATCCAAGGTGTTATAATGACAGGCAAGTTAGATTAACTGGTGTTCTTTAAAATGTCTAAATACTGTGAAGGTTTTGAGGCCTTCACAAGGATGCAAGACTGGCTCTGGGGGAGAAAAAGTGAAAAAATTATTCACTCCAAGGTGGAGCAGCTCTGCCTTCCCTTCCTAGTCCCTTTCTGGGCCCCTGATGGGTTGGTGCTGGAGTGACCTATCTCAGCAGTGGTAGGCCATGAAGGATCATTCTCATCTTCTTTGCTTGTAAGTGATTCATAAGATTTTGTTTGGCCTGTTTCTGAAATTAAAAGCAAGAAATGAGAACAATTCTAGACTCTGAAAAATGTACCTTCTAATCATCACTTTAAATATCTAACTTTACACTTGTGTTGAGTTCTTATGATGATTAGGTACTGGCTATGCAATAAATAAAATTTCATATGTCAACTTAACTTATATTTGAGCATCCATAGATAAATATAAAAATGAATTACAAGGTATTTATCAGCTATAAAGTTATACAAGATAACAATTAATATTACTTCACAAAATTAAACATAACACACATTTTTCATGTGTTTACCTTGTAATCATTTTAAAACCATAAAACCATTCTTTATATTATTTAATATGAAATGAAAATATTCACAGTATATTAGAAACTTGCCCTTTAAAACTTGGGGCATGGGCTGGGGATTTAGCTCAGTGGTTCAAGTGCTTTCCTGGTAAGTGTGAAGTCGTGAGTTTGATCTCCAGTACCAAAATAAAATAAGTAAATAAATTCAGGGCTCGAAGTATCAAAGACCATAAAAACCATAACCTTGTCTCTAGCTGGACACATTACTATCCCAGTATGCCTTTCAAAATGAGACTACGAAATAGCTCTATAACTGCAGAGCAGATAGTTTGATTATAAACATGAGAAAAATGACATAAAATGTAGTTAAATACGTTTTATCGGCCCTATTCACCAGTAATTTCTAAGAGTAAGAGCAAGTTCAAGTCCAAAGGAGCACACAGTGTAGCATGTCTTTTCCCTTTCCCTTGATCCAGAGAATCCATAAGCTGTAACATAGCCATGCGCCTTTTATAGTACTTTAAAAATACAGGGTATCGTCTACACAGATGATAGTGCTTTCATGAACATACTGTACTAAGCAAAACAGTGTATTAATTATGTCCATTTATGTTCATTTACAAAATGTCTCAAGTGGAAACTGTCTTCCTGTTAATAACTGAAATATGAAGAGCCATAGATTAAAATTAAATTCTGATGTTGTAATTTGATTACTTTTTCATTTTTACTAACTTTCCTAAAACTCAGTATTCAAACATCTTGCAGTGTGCTTTTGTATACATACATAATACACATATACACACACTGTGATCAAAAAATACAGTGAATATCTACTTAACAAATCTTTACTACAGTAAAAGACACAATGTTGTTAATGCCCCTTGAACTATTCCCCACTCTTCAGAAAGACTCATTCTATTGTTACTATGAATTTCCAAAACAGCTGTTGAGGTCCTCTCTTTTGTGTGTTGGTACCGGAGGTCCAGCTCACAACCTCATGCTTGCCAGGCAGGTACTGTGCCGCTGAGCTATATCTCCATGCCCTCAGGGGCCTCTTCTATGAGTGTCTTGAGTTGTACTGTCATGGCTGTCTCGGTGTCCTAAATGCATTGAAAATGTCTACCTGTCATGGTCATTTTGACACTGGGGAAGAGTCAGAGCTCACACAGCGCAAAGGCCGGTGACTGGAGTGGTTGAGGACACCCTGCGATGTTCTTAGGAGACAGCCTTTCCAGTGAGGGCCACTCGGCAGCAGCATTCACCATGGTCAGAATCCCATCTTAGGACGCCCTCACGGAGAGGACTTTCAGACCTGCTTTGAAGCTGATAGGAATGGCAGCAGGAGAGTGTTTGACATGAGGGCAAATACTATAGAGGACCTAATGCAATGTGTCCTTTAGTGTAATAATTTCTACAAATGTAAATATCCACTGTATATATGATCACACCAGGTACCACTAAAGAAATAAAACAGTTTTAAATTCAAGTTATTTAGTTACTATTAATCACATAACCTTCCCTTTTTAAAAAGTTAAAATCTTATGTATTCTGTTACTGAAAATTAGTGAAGGTTCATCCCCATCTCGTGCCATAGTGGTGCCATCCTCTTATAAATTCATTTTTCCTATAAAAATTTGCAGTAAAATATAAAATAATACCACCTATGTATATAAATTTTACATGCATATATGAAACATTTTAATTTAAAGGCATTTTTTCAAGTATAAATACAATGCATGCAAGATCCTGAAGTAAATTTATAAACATTAAATAGAAGTATCTTCATATATATGAAAATTATATTAGTTAGACAAGTAGGTTTATGCATAAAAGAAAACGATCTAAAGCTTATGCTAAATACTGAAACATTAAAGTTGTAAAAAATGTTTAACTACAACTTTAAATTTCAAACTATCTGAAAACTGCCCTCCTGAAAACTTAATGGACCTCAATTACAGAGTAACTATTACAATAAAACAAAGTGATTCATGGTTTTCCTTAGCAGGTTTGATTTTAATGTAGAGGAAATTTTAGCAAAATCTATTGAGTAGAATAAGTGAATTAATGCCCCATACCCACAGTGAATTATGAACTTTCTAGCTATTTCCTGTGATTATTCAATCAATTGACTTTTTTATGGTTCACAGTTTACCTATTCAACAAAACGGATCTAAACCATATGGCAATAAATCCATTTTACATTTCTGGGAGGGAAGTAACTCATCCTTTCCTGTCTGTATCTAAAAGGGAAAACTTTTCTAGAATGACACCATAGTACAATAAACTTAATAGACCAACTTCCTGGAAAACCATTAGATAAATTAGAAATAATTATTAAATAAACATTCAATGATTAATATACACACCATCTCTGAATTTCTGCAAAAAAATTATTCATATGGCAGCCAATTAAAACTTTTTAGTTGTATTTCCACCTGCAAGTATAGTATCTGGAGCAATAATTTCAAAAGCCCATTCCACAACTTGATATCAGAAAAAAAGGAAGATTGCGTGGGCAAACAATTTGAAGAAAGCTGTGTTAAATAAAATTAGGCATTTTTCTTTGGTGAGTAGATAAGAGGTAAATACAGGTCACAATATTTGCAGTTTGGAACAGAATCTTTTTACTTTTGTGATCATCATAGTAGCACTTCATTAGATTACTCTGATGAAGACCAACTTTATTCAAATAGCAAAATATCCTGTAGCTCATTAACAAATGGTTAGCACATTTTTACAACAAATTCATAAACTCATACTTATTTTTAAAAAGTTTTAGACAGTGCTGGATGTTAAGCCCAGGGCCTTTGTATTGAGCTATGTTTCTACTTCATTTATTATTTTTAGTTGGAGACAGGATCTTGCTAAATTGCCCAGGCCAGGCAAGGATCAAACTTGCATCCTCCTGACTCAACCTCCCAGTCTTCTCGGATTACAGCCCTGCAATTACCACCAGGCCTAGTTTCATAAAATTTTAGTTTATATACCATTAAAGATGGTTCCTGCAAGGAAAGATCATTCAGAATCTGATTCTGACAAATACATTCTTTTTGTGATCACAAAGAAAGAACATTTGACTGTAACATACTGTGGCCATTTACTAATGATCAAACCACCATTCTATTTGACTTTTTTTACTAATTAAATGAAGATAAATTAATGACTAAAATGAAAATAAATTTTGTGCTTAAACCTTGATATCTAGGATGTGAGGGCGATCTGGCTGCGAAATCTGACACCCCATTGATCACCAGGGTTGATTCGGCTGATCTGGCTGGCTAGGTGGGTGTCCCCTCCTCCCTCAATGATCCATGTGCATCCCTCCCGAAGCTGCATGCTCAGTCGAAGAGGATGACTACCCCCGATTGAGGAGGACTGTTCCTCAGTCAAGGGTGTACGAGTGTAGCTGCGCTCCCCTGCTAGAACCTCCAAACAAACTTTAATATCTAGCAACTTGCTTTTACTTAAAACGATAGAATTTTCCAGGTTTTTTCTACCACATGTTACACTTACTGACTTTGATGTGTACACATCACTTGCCAGCATAGAGAAAGACAAGTAAACACGTGAGTCATCTGTGGCTTGTGCATCTTTAAGAGCACAGCCAGACAACTATGCTTCCGTGTTGTATGGTGCAATACCTGGACATCTATACAGCTTTCTTGCCTGTGCAATATCTCCTTTGCTCAACCGGGTCCGCTGGCCAATCACCGGCCGAATGCCATTGTCATCACGGGAGGGGAGAATGGTGTCCAGAAACATCCCCCTGAAAAGACAGATGCAAACCACACCTAAGTCACCAAACTGAAACCCACATAATCTTAACAAGCATAGGGTGATTCTTTTGTCAAAAGGCTAGTATTTTAAGTCAACAAAAGGAGAAATATGCCAGTGCAGGCTTAAAACAGTGTTAGAGGTTTCAAAACACTCTCATCCAAGTAAACATAAAACTGTGCATTAAAAGGGTGTGTCTCACATAAAGACTGTGATATTTGCTTTTTCCTTAGAATTATATATGATGTACTCACGAAAATAGGAGATATTGTAGTCCCTCGCAAAGCCCAGCTTTTGTATTACCCATCCACAAAGGTCTAAGAGCCCCTTAGGTGACCAGTTTTTAAAACATTTCTTCCTCATGAGTGAAAAAATGTAAGCAGCAAACCAGAAGCTAATTTTGAGGAGTTAAAACAGTGATTTCAAGTAATACTCTTAGAAACCCAGGTGTCATTCTAGTATATATTAAAGCAACAAGGAAAAAAAGACAGTCAACTTTAGACAGGACAAAAAATACACACATTTAGGGGCTGGGGACTTAGCTCAGCGGCATAAGCACCTGCCTTGCAAGCAGGCAGTCGTGAGCTTGATCCCCAGTACCGATAAACAGACAAAAAAAAATACACACATTTATAAATGTGTGTATTTTTTTTTCAAATTTTGTATGGTTAAATCAATAAGCAAAAAAGCCTAATGAAAGTTTTAATAAGACTAAGCTATAGACACCGAGTTAGAGTCAAGGTTATGGTAGAAGACTTTGTATTTTTCCTAATATGCATAATTTAAAATTCTGACTACAATGTACTAAATATACAAACAAATTTTGCCAAGTTTATCACACATTTACAACACTAAAAGGAGCACTAAGCTTAACAGTTAAATGGACTGGGACTATTCCAAGGCATTTAAAAGTACGAAGGTTGTGGATGTGGATTTTCAATACAACAAAAAATAAAAGGAGGAATTTGTACAAAAAATAGTTTAAATGAAAAAATTTCATTTACAATCTTTTAAATTCAGATGATCAACAAGACTTTTTATTCCAAACTTATAAATGAATGTTTGACTTTTAAAGTACAGATTAGCTCTACTTATTCTTTCAATTATCAAATAATTATTCAACACTGTTTTGGGCATGAATTTATACTGATAATTTTTTTTAAAAACACAGTAATTCTTCCTTGTGTAATTTTAGCAGGATAATGAAAGAAAAAGGATACCCAAAGGATAGTCAAAGGTACCATGGAAAAAGATTAAAAGATGTATATTTACTATAGACTGTTATATGGCTTTCAAATAGAGTAAAGAAAGAAAATAGAATTTTTAGAATTCCACAGTTTAGTCAAACATGAAGGAAGCAAAGCTCAAAGATATATGTGTAACTATGAGTAGAAAGTTTCAGAAAAAAATATCAAATGTAATGGGTCACAAATGAGATGCCCCTGAAAGAGTCTGAACACCAGCCAGAGAATCTGACTCTTATCCATGGATAATAATCTATAGGGAAATGGGAAACAAAAGGGCAACATGATATATAAGTAACACGATGCACAAATAATTTATAACTAAATTCTTCAGCTGTTACATAAGAAAGAGAGTGATTACTTTTAGGTATAGCTCATACTGGGGAGGCTATAACTCTTTCCAATCAGATCTAAGAATACACAACACACTCTATACATCTGCCCGACATGAGTAAAGAAGTAGAGACAATGATTTATGGGAATTAATCATTAAAAGTGATCACTGGCACCTATTTTTAAGATGACACTTCAAGTTCCACAATGTAACTGAAAAGGTAAATTAAATTATAAGTTAGCATTGAAAACAACCATTCTCAATGACGCTTCATGAATCAACAGATACAGTAAGTAGGTAGATCTAAATTAATGAAGTGTTATAATTTCTGTAGTTATTCACTAATAACAGAAATATTTTCTATTTCTAAAAATAAATTTATAATCTTCAAATTTTCTTTTATTTTCAGCTTTCATGAAAGATTCAAAGAGAATCTTGACAAAAGCCAAAAACCTATGCTAGAAGAAAGGTAGCTTCTTTTTAAATGATGCTGAGAAAACTCACTATAAACACTTGAAGACTGGATCTAGAATCTTGTCTTTCACCATGTAATTACATAAAATCCAAGTGGACCAAAGATCTAAATATTAAAGCAAATAATCTGCTGGAAGATAAAAACAGTTAAAACCCTTGAACATAGGAATCATCAAGGACTTTTTAAACAGAATACCAATTACATAAGAAGTAACATCAAGAAAAAAATCCATATCATTAAAAATTTCTGCACAACAAAAGAAACAACCAACAGAGTGAAAGGACAACCTACAGAATAGAAAAAAATAACTTTTGAAGCTACTACTTAGAGAACTGTCTTAGTTTCATTGCTGAGACAAAATACGTCAAAGTCAAAGGTTTATTTAGCTCACAGTTTGTAGAGGTGTCAGTCCATAATTGGTTGGCTCCAAGGCAGGAGAGCATCACAGAGGAGAAACAGTTCATGGTAGGGAGTAGATAGCAAAGCAATAGGGGCAACCACTATTCTTTCTATCCTTCATATTTTATCTCAGCTACTGAGGGCAGACAGCACTCACACCCTTAGTCCTACTGCCCTTGATGCTAGCATTGCACCAAGAATTAATTCCAGCATCATACACTTTCCATAGAGCCACCTCTGAAAATTCCCATCTATGACCAAATGAGGCTTAGAATAGACATCAAAACATAGCCACAACAATGACTAATGTCTAGAAATACACAAATAACTCCAAAAACTAGTCCTCCCCAAATAAAAGACCCCATGGAAAAATGAATTGAACAAAGTCTTTTCAGAAGAGGAAATACAAGTGGCCAATAAAGAAATGTTCAACACCTCCAGCTATTAGAGAAATTCAAATTAAAACAACATAGAGATATCACTTATTCCAAGAAAAATAGCCATTATCAAGACATTGAATAAAAAAACAAATGCTTGTGAGCTGTGAGGGGGAGATGAAACTCTCCTACATTACTGTAAACCACAAAGGAAAACATTATGGAGCTTCTTCGGGGAACTAAAAACAGAAATTTCACTTAACCCAGCTATTCCACTTCTATGTATTCACCAAGAGTTAAAAACATTGCACTACAGTGACACACTCATGTTTATAAAGTACAGCTCATCAGAGCTAAAACTTGCAAGTGGTCTGTGTGTCCATCCACAGATGAACAGATAAAGAAAATGTAATTGTACACTATGGTATACTATTCTGGCATAAAGAAGGCTAAATCTGAATCACTTATAAGAAAATAGATGTATTTTGGGACAATAATGTTAACTGAAACATGATGCAGATGGTTAAATATCACAGAATTTCTCTTATATTCAAAACTCAAAATACACATAAAGTGCAAAATAAAAAATGGATAACAGGAAGTAGTGAGATCTTTTTCAAAAGGGAAGCAGATCAAAAGATAAATGCAGGTGACTGAATTGGGAGGAGAAGGTAAAATAAACAGAATGAAGGTGTGTTATATACATGTACTAACTCCCTAAAATCATTATGTATTACAAACATGTACTAATAAACTTTTCATTGGAATTAATGCACTGCTGGAATTAAACAGTAAAATTTTAATTAAATAAATTTGTTTTTTTTAATAAATAGGTCTAGGGCATTTTGGAGTACATATACTTATTTTCAGACCACAGAATTATTTAAGTAGGCTCACTTCATCTACTGAGGTAACTTCTTTTCTATTTCTAAGAGAATCCTTTATTTCTTTGTTCTTTTTATCAGAAAGTAATGATCTTCTTTCTCCAGGTTTTGGCCATTAAGCAAAGTAAGCTCTTAGTAAACCTTCTTACTAAGTGTTATGGTTTAAAAACTGGTGGTCAAGTTAAAACCAGCTGAATTAAATCAGCATGGTGCTGAGTGTAGATGTTCCACCAGAGGAAAGTTGCCAGCATAAATAGAGACGTGGATAAGAAGAGCGAGGTGTTGTGGGTTTCTCTAAGTGTTCCTGTTCGAGCCATTGGCTCTCCTAGAGGAGCTCATCATGACTAGCTTTCCCAGTGTGAGTACTACTATTGTCAGCAGAGGAGCTTGTGACCTTGTTGGTGAAACTGGCCATGGTTCACTTTGGGGGAGCTCTGGTCCTTACGTTGACTGGCGTGAGTCCTTCTTGTGGGTTCTAGATCTCCAGCTGGACTCATAGAACCCATTGTCATGGGCTGTGGATCTTCAGCTGGACTCATGTAGGACATTGCTGTGGATCTAGGCCCTTGGCTGAATATTCTGGGTCTTTTAGTGTTGTGGACAGATTTCCTGCACTTTCTGTGTTTAACGCTGGATGACCATCATAAATTCAGTGTCCTGATTCTAATTGTCCTTCATACAACCCCTAATTACAACACTAAGGTACTATCAATGGGGCTGAAACAGAGTGTAGCTAATCTCTATTTTTAATTTGCTTTAGTCACAATAAAAAGATAACTTAGCCAAAAGAACTGTGTAAAAATTTATAGCTCTTTTCCTAACTAAATTGGGCAAGCTCTAGGTTCCAAGTATCCATGCACACTAAAGCTTCATAGATAAAAGCCATAGTCTTTCAATAAGTGAGTTCCTAAATCTATTGATGATCTACATTCATGAAAACAACTGAAACTTTTATGAACTGTTCAGAACCTACAAAAGTTTCCAAATAAAATGAACTATAAAACTTAAAACCAAAATTTTATGATCACCTCTATTTGATGTAAAACACATATTTGACAAAGTTGAACATTCTTTCCTGATAAACTCTCAACAAATTAGAATAAGGAGAAATTGTATCAACTTAATAGAGGCCATATGTAAAAGGCCCACAGCTAATGTTACACTCAACGATAGAAAACAAAGCTTTTCCCTCTAAGTTCAGGAATAAGGTAAAGATACCCATTCTCAGCATTTCTACTCATCAGAGGACTTAAAGTCCTAGCCAGAGAAATTTTTAAAAAATAAAGAAAAAGGAAAAAAGGAAGGTAGGTAGGGGCAGAGAACAAAGAAGATAATAACATGAATACAAACTGACAAGAAAGAAGTCGAATTATCTCTAATCATAGATGCCATGATCTTATATGTAGAAATCGCTAAACACCTGTTTCTGTCTCTATCACTCTCTGTCTCTCACACACACACACACACACACACACACACACCCTCTTAGAACTTGTTTGAACTAATGAACAAATCCAGTAACATGAGATACAAGACGATTTTCATTTCTATTCACTAGCAAAAATCCAAAAAGGCAGTGAAGAAAAATTTACAATAGAATCAAAAAAGAATAAAAAGAATAAAAATGATTTAGTAATAGATCTGATGAAGAATGAGAAAGATAAACAATGAAACAAAATGGGCTGTTGAAAGAAATTAAAGATGAACAGGTATGGTGGTGCACCCCTGGAATCCCAGCATATTGGTGCTGAGACAGGAGGATCACAGATCTGTGTTTATTTAGTCCGGGTTACAGAGGGAGTTTAAGACTTGCCCAAACTATGTATATGAGCCTGTCTCAAACAAATCAACAGCCAAAAGGAAAAAAAAAATGAAAGAAAAAGCAAGTAAATGAGAAGTCCCTGCCTTCATGGATCAAAACCTTAATGTTTTTAATATACCAATATTATCAATAATATTCAATATTTAATTGCATATTAAATAGCTTTTTCCAGACATTAAAAAACAATCACACTTAGAATCATGTAATCTCAAATAATACCACGTCTGAAACAATTTCATAACGAAAACAAAATCAAAGAATTTGCACTCCAACTTTAGAGAAACAATTTTAGAGTATATTACAAAAGAACAAGAGTCAAAAGACTATACTACTGATATAATCACAAGCCTAAAGATCAGTTAAATAAAATGGAGGCCCAGAAATAACCTCACATATATTATCTGTAACAAAACTATCACAACCATTCACTGGGAAAAGGAGAGTCTTTTCTACAAGTGGTGACAGTAAAACTGGATACTAGTTTGTGGTGCCACCGGAATAAATTTAGCCTTTAATCCTACACCATTTCAGAGTGAACTCAAAATGGATTGAAGATGTCAACATAAAATGTAAAACTCCCAAAGAAAATGGAGAAAGCCTTATGATATCAGACAGAGTAGTGATTTGTTAAATTTGGTATCAAAAGATAAGCCTTGAAATTAAAAGTACATTATGAGGGCTACATGAAATTTAAAATACTTTGTACCTCAAATGACACAATAAACAAAATTAAAAGGCAACCTATGGAAATGGAGATATTTGCAAATCATGTAGTTGAAAAATGACTAAATATCCAGTTTATATAAAGAACTCTTAATACTCAACAACAAAATAACAACCTGATTTAAAACTAAGCAAAGGCATTATCTCAAAAGATGATAAATGATCACCAGGAATATGAAATGATATTAAACTGATCACTAAAAGTTGCTCCCTAATCATCAGAGAATTGTAACTCAAGATCCTAATTATATATTGCCTCATACCCAATACCTACCAATAAAACAATAGAAAGTAAAAAGTGTTGGTACGGATAAGTAGAAATTGGTAGTCTCGTGTACTTTCCTTGAAGAATAAAGTGATTCAGTCACTATGGAAAAGAGCATAAAACTTGTTCAAAACATTAAAGTAGAATTGGAGTGTAATCCAATAATCCCAGTTCTAGGTATATATCCTAAAGAATTTATGCTTATAATAGCACTATTCACAATAGCCAAGAAGTAAAAGCAACCAATATGTCCTCTGACAAATTGAGGGATTAAAAAAAAAAAGAAGTATATAACAGATAATGGATTATTACCTATCAATATTATAGAAGAAAATCATATCACATGTTACACCCTGGATAAATCCTGAGACAAAATTACTAAGTGAAATAAGCCAGGCAAAAAATGAAAAATACTGAATGATTCCAATTATAGGAAGCACTTAAAGTAATTTTATGTCACAGAATGTAAAATATTGATTGAAAGTTACTAAGGGTGGAGGAGTGAGGAGACAGGGAAGTTATGTGTTTACTGAACACAGAGTTTCAGCTTGCAAAACGTAAATGTTCTAGAGACCTGCTTTACAGCAGTGTGAATGTACATCAGCACTATTAAACTGTAACCTTTTAAAATGTTTAAAATTTTACTGTATTTTTCTATAGTCTCAGTAAGAACCATCAAGAGTAGAACTATGTAGTAAGAACCATGAAAAGTAAAGCTAAGAAGTGTGTCAAAATTTTTATTTCCTGAAATCCGTCATGTAAATATGTTCATAAACATTATCTTTAATGTTTCGATAAGGCTGGGGATGTAGCTCAGTAGAATAAGAACCTGCCTGGCAAGCATGAGGTCATGAGTTTGATCCCCAGCCCCCCTGCCATTTAAGTCTCGATAAAACAATGGGGATTGAGTCATTTGGACTACTTCCCTTCTAACAAGCAGATATGCTTGCTCTCTTACAATCTGGGAGTATAAATCTATGAAAAAATAATAGGAAAATTTTGAAGCAATAAGATAGAATAATAGGGCAAGGCTGATCGGTATACAGCATGAAGGTGATTGAGGCGGGGAATGAACCACAAGCTTTAAAAGCACAGTAGTTTATGGGAAAGAGACAGACTGCCGTTACATATGGTAGGCTTCAGTAGAGTTTCATCATCTATGAAGGACAGAAAAAAGTAAGTTACTTTGTGGGACTCAAATATCTCCTCTAGAGAATTAAACTTCACATTAAATGAATTAAATTCACAAATTGAATTAAATTTGAATAATTCAAATCAGTTGCATAGAGAACAACCTTTGCTAACTGGGATCTAAACATTCATTTCTTAGGGATTTCTTTGTAAAAACTCATCTTTAACCACTCACATAAAAACGAAAATTTACAACCCTATTAAAGTCAAATTTTTGGATGTTTTCTTACAAGAATTTAAAATTCCAATTACAGTTAAAATAAATGTTTACATAGTTATTATATACAATTAATATATGTTTTAGTTTTAAATTCTTTCCTTTCCTAATACTTAGAGTTTTTACATTTGGGTTTCTGAAAAACTTAAAACTATGTCTATTTATTAGGGGCTCATTAATACAATCTTCTCTAATTTTCACCAAAAATTTCTAAAAATGGAAATAAATTTGGGTTATTTTTCTTCTGCTGCCTTTAAAAATGCTAGTGAACTGCTAAATGGGTATAAGTGGACAAAAAGAATGGTCAAAGTGGTCTTCAGAATGGAAATTCACATCAGTGGGAAAAAGGATGGGTGAGTTCAGTGCTTAAATGATTCCGAATTCCTTACCTTACCTGGGAACTATTTGTGTGATGGCCTCGTCTTTACAATGAAGTAGATCAAAACCCAAGTTTATTATATTTTTAGTTACAATGGATTATTGATGGAATAATATTAAGGTTAATGATTGGTGAGCTATGATTCTAGAAATGATACCGAAATAAATTACCTTCCTAATCTGTTCTTTGAGAATTTATCTAGTAATAACAATTGTTTAGCAATAATGGTACTTGAGTGACAAAAATGAAAATATACACTATAAAATACAAGTTACACAGATAATATGACGACTCAATGATTGATTTATTTGATTTACAAATGCCTTGTGTCATTAAATAATAATACTATGCCAATTTACTAAGCTAGTTTGTGTAGAGTTGTTTTATATGAGCTTCTTTACAATTTGGGGATGTAAAAATATTTAAATAATTCAATGTATTTTAAGGATCACCTTAAATTTATATGTTTGGTAAGAAATGTAGAAATATTTCTTAAAATGCCTTTTGTGCCTATTGGCTATGAATGTGAATCATTACTTTTCTACTTTATTTCTGCCATGAGGCAGAAACATTTGAAAGTGATTCTAGCAGGCATGTCAAACACAGTTTTGTGAGAAGTCAAATGATGGAAGGAATTAAAAGTCAAAAGGTATAACCTGAGACTCCAACCTTGAGAAGGTGTTCCTGGCATAGTGCATGATACTGTCAAAGTCATATCGTTCTCCAAGAGAGTTCACTTCTCCAGGCTCCATCTTCAGAAAATTGTACTCTTGACCTAAGAATCAGGGATAAATAAATTGCAGAAGACTTTCAACTGAAATAAGAGAGAACACTAAATCACTGATCTTGGTGGTTGCATTTGCATGCCAGCTCCAGCCTGAAATCATGTGTGAAAATCATGATTTCACTCTAATATTGTATTGAAAGAGCAACACTGCACCAGAACAAACTTAATTTCTGCAAAGGCATAACTCTTCTGCCACTTTATAATATTTGTTTCTTTAAAATATGCTGCTTATTTAGGTACTGTACAAATGTGTATAAAATTTATTTGTTTATCTAAGGAGTTTTGTACTTTTCTCTTTGAACTATATTTGCCCACACTCAAAAAAATTATATGCTATTTGTTTTAGATCCTTCCTAAGAAACACTACTATATAAAGATATAAAAAAATTAGTATAAATCCAACTTTGCGAGATTTACATGTATGAATTATTCACTAAAGATAAAGCAGGAACAAACATACTATCTTTTAAAAAATGGGTACTCCTTAAAAAGGAGGTTCTACTTTGAGAAATTTTTAATAATGAAGAATACACTTTCAAATTTAATTTTTTTCTCTTACATCTGTTATTTTAAAATTTATTTAATTTTAAATTAAATTTAAATTTATCCCCTTTAAAGTATTTAATTAAAGGGGATAATTAATTTAATTAAAGGGATTTCAAAAACAAGACAGTAAGAAATCAACAATAGTATATTACACATTGTTATCCTATAGTGGCTCAGACTACTCAATAAAGGCATGCAAAGATATTATAAGCCCTAAATTGTTTCTTTACTTCAGTTGCTGTTAATTTAAAATTTATTTTTGAAATCTTCACTTTTAATAGATTTTTCTACTGATTTTTTTTTACCATATGGTAATATTATTTCTTAAAATTTGAAAAAAACCCACAGATAAATATAAGGGTTTACTACTGTGGCTCTAAAAGACAATTTCTCCTGATAAGTGTTTAAAGTCTCAGTGACTCCATTTTCACAACTTACACCACCAAAGATGCACACTTTATTTCACACATGTAATTTAAAAAGCTTTGAAATATCAGAATATAAAACTAAGCTAATGAGATTCATATCAATAGCCCTAAAGCAAAACTCATATAGCTAAGTTTTTATTCTAGCTTCCATTTTACTATGAAATATACAAATATAACATTAAGAAAAAGTTTACAAAATCAATAAAGACACTGGGTTATGCCATAAAGCTCTTTTGTGACAGCAAAAAGCAATGTATACTCACTTTAACTTTAAGGATAAGGAAATCAACCCAGAGTTATAAAACCCACAGTCTAAAGTGGGTTAGTCTATCTTTTAAAGTGTTTTAGTCTATCTTTGAAAAAATCCACACAATAAATAATTTTAAATAAATTTATCAGCCTGTATAGTGAAATGTATGTTCCATAAATCACTAATATACTTGAGATACAACCATTCTCAAGAAGAATTTTGCATTCTATTCCACAGAAGCAACTGTTAAAACTCTTCATAAAGAATTTTCAGCCAATTATAATATTACCCATTCTTTTCTCCATTATTTTAAAGGGGATAAAACAAAACAAAATAATAAAATGAACCAAAGAAAAGTAATGAGAGTGACCTTGGATTTCAAAAACAAGACAGTAAGAAATCAACAATAGTATATTACACATTGCTATCCTCTAGTGGCTCAGACTACTCAATAAAGGCATGCAAAGTTAATCAGATATTATAAGTCCTCAATCGTTTCTTTACTTCAGTTGCTATCATTTTAGAAATTTAGCTTCTAAGTTTTTCTGTCTGTGTATCCTGGACTTCTTCTGGTGAGATATAAGCATGCAAGATTAATCAAACCATATAAGCACTAAGTTGTTTCTTTACTTCAGTTGCTATCAATTCAGAAATTTCAGGTGTATGACTTCTAATTTCTTTTGTGCCTATGTCTCCTGCACTTGTTAAATATCCTATTCTAAGTTGAGGCTTTTAAAACTTTATCACCACATTCAAAACTATTGACCCATAGGATTTCAATGTAGAGCACACTATGGGAACAGATTCTCTACTAAAAGCAAATGTTTCACAAAATTTTCTGAAAGTGATACACAAGCAAAGGCAGTAATATATTTTAACAAGTGTAACTGACCACTTACACATATGACACAGAGCTTTACACTAGGTAAAAACAACATGATTATTATATAGTCCAAAAAAAAAAGAAAGCTAGAAATTGCTTTAAGGAAGAAAGAAAGAAAATTAGCAATACAAAAAAACTAGGGCAAAACACACTTAACAGTAAAAACTTTTTAAAATAGCAAGCTTCTGTGTTGAAGATATATTCTAACAGAGTTTGAAATTATCCAATCCTTATACTGATTTCTTATCAAAGTCACCTGTTTTGCATATATATTGTAAGCCAAAGTTTGTGCTTATTTGACATTGCTCTTATGTAAGATCTGATTTGAAATTTCTGAATCAGATACAAGATTCTCTATAATGTAATCTCTCTTGATAATTGCCAATTAATATTCCACTTACAATTTACCACACTGTCACAGTGAGAAGAAAACGAACATGTTTTCATAGCATGGAAATCTTACCAGTCTTCTTCCTATCTAGAATATTTCCATTCACGTTTAAATTTGGTTTATTGTGACATCTCCTTTCACTTGCAAGTTCACATTTATCACACTTTTGCTTGGTTCTCTCCAGTATTCTCAACACACAAACTTCTGTTACTTTTTCTCACTGGCTAAGTGAATTTTTTTTATGACAGCATCTCCAAAACCTAATAGGGCTTCAGTATATAACTGGTATCAAGTAAGAGGTGTGACCAAAATACACAGTGCATACTTTACTTAAAAGTGAAAATTGTTACAGAAAAAGGCACACTGCCATAAATCCTCTTTATAAATACTGTCTCTTGCCTTGTCACACTTTTCCCATCAATCTTGCCACCGTCTGAAGCAGTTCAGGACATCCTCTTTCATGAACATCTTTAACTGCAGGGTCCTGGCTGCTGAAATACACTGAGTGAATTCAAAAGGTTTACCTCATGGCTATTTTGACTTTGAGACAAGCCAGGGGTTGCACAGTGCCAGGTTTCATTAATAAGATAGATACGCACACAGCATAGTGTTTTTATTTAACAGAAATTGTTATAAATGTCTGGAATTGATTCAGAACATTGAGCCAGCTATAAAAGGACGCTCATGAAAGGTCACGAAACTTCCAGAACTGCTTTGAAAAGCAGAAAGAAATGGTGGCATTAAGTGTGTTTGAAGTGATGAGACGGTTAGAGGGGAATTAACAGGAATGTGTCTTTTACTGAAATAATTTTTAAATCTTTAAAGACGTATGAACTGTTTGCTCACACCTATCTTTGAACAATGAAGGAATGAACATTACTGATTAACAGGCAGTTCATTATTTGGAGCTTAAAATTAGCATGCTCACAACAGTTGCAAGAAAACAGTTGTACTATGCTTATTTTTAAACTCACATTACCTTACCAAAAAAACCTCCAAACGTTATTTTGGCAACTAAAATGTACTGATCTTTATCACTGAGAAAATGAAACAAGTAAGTTTTACAGTGAGGTAATTATCACACATCAAACTGTCAGAGAAAATTAGATTTTAATTGTAAATTATATTTCAGCTACTGAAAACATCTTAACATTCTGCTACTGGAAGCATTCTTAAGATTTAGGGTAGTAAAGTTTAGGAGGCAGATCTCAAAGAAAACTAGACTATCCTGAAAATGACTCACTGTACTGGAATTTTCACTAGAAATTGTACCTGATAAAGCAGATTCCTGTGGTTGCAATGCGTGCCATAACAAGCCCTGAACTCTTTTAAAATCCTTGTAACATAAGTTATACAACTACAGTGAGCATGAAAAACGCTTGCATTTAAAAAAACGATTAAATGACATTAGTTGATGGCTCCATAACTCACACTCATTCTTGGAAAACACAACAGCTAGAAATAAAACAAATCTTAAGAAGAGATGAAAGCCTAGACATTACATGAGATTATTCAGCGTCTAGGAAACAATTTAAAATATAAAACCACCAAGAATGAGTTTTAGTCAAACAAATGCTGATTCTACCAGATCAAAGCAAATTTACATTTTTTGAGACAGTGAGTGATAACAATTCAGGCATTTAGTTTGCCTTAAACTAAACACATCTCAAAGCCCCTCACCTGGCTGGATGTTTTCCCTTATGATAGTTACATGGTTGTCTCGATCTGGTCGTGTATGCTCGTGCCAAAAGCCTATCACATGGCCCAGTTCATGAACAACAATTCCAAACTTGTCACAGTTCTTTCCAATAGAGATGGCCTGAGGTCCATTTCCCCTCCGACCTACGTAGGAGCAGCATCTGTAATGAAATAGAAGGTGGATACAGTGGAGGACAGAATGCTCTGAATAAGTTACAATACTGCAACATTTGTGAAAAAAAATGGTATGTCCAACACAATCAGAGGCAGAGCACCGTATCTCAGTGAATATGGTTATTTCCTAGCATCTTTTAAGTTTATATATATTAAGTTTCCAAATAATTGACTGAAATGTTTTTTAATTGATACATGCATTAGGAGATAAGTCTCAAATCATTTCTAGAAGGATTTAGAAGGTAAATTAGAAAAAATTATGATGATGCTCTCTAATGTGCTCTAGAGTGGATCCTGTGTATCCATAGTAACTACATTGTCATTGTGATTATCTGGTAATAGCCAGTATTACTTTTAAATTAAAATAAAGCTTATTTTTCCTCTTTTGAGAGAAATAGTTAAACTGATTTATTAGATATGTTGATTAATCAAAGTAAAAATTTGTCTTCTACTTCTGAGGTAGTTGTAAGAAGAAAAAATTTTTTGGAAGAAATTTGAAATTTTCTTTCGGTTTTCTTCAATTTCATAAGGTGAATTACCTCAGGTAAATAGTCAACCATGGGTAGAGATGGATGGTTGATGTCTCCCCCAAGTTCATGTGTTGAAAATTAACCTCCATTGAGATGGTATTTGGAAATGAGCCTTTGGGAAGTTGATTAGGTCATGAGGGTAGACCTAATCTCTATCAGACCAGTACCCTTATGAAAGAAGCCTTAGAGGGTTCGCTTGAACTCTTCCACAATGGAGATCACAAGACCAAGTTCATCTAGGAACAAGGAAATGGGCCCCCAACAGACACTGAATCAGTACATCTGGTCTCCAGAACTGTGACATTTACACTTCTGTTGTTCACCACCCAGTCTACTGGATTGTGTTATAACACCTGGAATGAACTACAATAAATAATGAAGAAAAACTGACAGATTGTAATAGTGCAACTGGCAATTTGTAATAGTGTGATATGTATCAATTGTTCAGGCCAGTGTTTGAGTGTTATTTTCTATTTGAAATTGAGATTCTATTTATTCATTTGTGTTCATGTATACATGTGTGTGACACTCCAAGAGATTCTTACACAATAGTGAACACACAAAGTACCCATTAAAATAAACCTTACATGTTATGACAGTTGCCACAGTTATAAATGCAAATGAATTATATATAAAACTTTAATAGAGTTTGCACTGTAATAATTTATACACGAAACTATTCTGTTAGATAACAATAAAAGTCACTAATTAGTTTTCAATAGTTACACTAGTGACTAGACAGACTTTTCTGATTTGTTAAATGAAAAAAATGCCAAAAATCAAGTTTTAAATGATTAAAAAGAATTTCACTACTTTAATTTATCCATTACATTTGACAGTTCTTCCAATTTTACACAAATATAAATTCTTGTGCATGCTTCGCACCTTACTCCCAAACATTTTCTGCTGTTATGCCACTTAGATTAACTAATTCATATTCATTATTTATAAATCTCATCAGAATTAATTCATACTCATTATTTGTAATATTTATAAATTTCTGTTTGTTTATTAGCTTCAAAATGAGTCTTGGAAAGAATTAAGTTAGATGATGGGACAGAAGTCAGTAAATTGTATCATTTTCTCGTAGGTAATTTCAGAATAATCATTTTTATCTGTACTTAGGTATTTAGTAGTTACTCAAATTCTTATTACATACTCCCAAGTATTAGAGAAAAACATATTTTTTGAAATTTTGGAGAGATTTAAACTGAAACTTTTGCTACCTTAAATCAATAGTTAACAAACAGAAATAATCAGGTAATTATATACCAAGTAAATTACTCACAGTGAATCATTTTTTCTGGTAATAGTCAAAGAACACTAGTTTGCAAAACAATTCTGGGAGACAGTAAAGCAATGTGGTCAACGTATTTAATTCTTAAAACCAATTTTTAAAAAATTGAACTCATAGCAATTTCCTATAATTATATGGGTTTTCATAATGAAAAGGGAAAATAGAGTTCACTCTGTGTTATTCATAAAGCTATTATTTTACAATGGTCATGAAAAAGAAGAAAACCATGGTACTTTGATCCCTGACTAAATAAGTTTTAGGCACAGAAGAATGCTAGAATTTCAAATTAGCTGAATAACTGCAAAGTGCTTATACAAATATTAGGTAACATCCAATTGGTAGAGCACAATTTAATCATACTCAAGCATCAGCTTAATCTCCAATGTAATCCAGGTTTGATCTCATTTTCTTCCTTGGGGCTATTGGAATTTTGTTTCTAATTTGTGTGCTACATTTACTGTTTGGCCATTAAAAGATCCAGCTGCTCTTCAAGAGAAACTTTCACCAAATATTGGAAAATTTTGCCCTTCCTTAAGTCATAAGAACAAATCCAAATTCGATATTCCCTATTTTTGCCTTCAGCTGGTAGACCAAAACACATTTAAACTTTCCTTGAAGTTAATCCGCACTCATAAAATTAGAATTGTTTATATTTTTTCATCCATTGTATTCAAAAATCTTTCCAATTATTTAGCTTAACTATACATTTTTTTCTCATACAATGACTCTATTTACTTACTTGGTTTCTATAAAACATGTGTTATCATTAAAATATAAGATAATCAGGAGAGAGCTCTTAATCTCTTTGGTTCATTGATTGATCGTAAGTATCAAAAGCAATGTCTAGCATAGATCATGCAATGTTTGTTAGACAGTTAGCTTAAATATTTAGCTATGTTTCCTCCATTGGAAGAGATACAAATATCTCAATTTAATTGCCCTTAATTCAATGTTTAAAAAGGTTGTTCTACCTACTAGCTTCCCTATCCAAGTGTAACGTAAGTCCCATTTCCTCTAGTTACAGTTAACCCTCTGATTTCAACTCAAGAGTAATGCCAGTATTTCTGAACTTTTTTTTCCCACATCCATACTTTGGGCTCTACCTTCAGTCTATGCCTGGAGTAAATCTACTTCTCATGGTACCGCTGCTAACACTGTTATCCAAGCCATGTCTCCTAACTGCTTTTTTTTTCTGTTCTTGCCTTCCTACCTCAAGATTTCCTTGTCACCACGATATTTATAAAATGTCAAGTCATATTTGATGTTCTTGAACTACTCTGTGGTTTGTTGTGTCAGTGTTAATCCATTACCCTTCTCTGGCAGATGATTGTACTTCCTATCCCACTAATGCTGGATTCTGTCATGTGGCTTGCTCTGGACAATGTTACAAAAGTCAAAATTGGTTGTATCATTTCTAGAGAGAATCTTTTAAGAGCCAACACACAGTGGCTATAGTGGCTTAATCCCATCAGCCCCAAGAAGAGCTACACTCAAAGAGAGGCTCCTCAGTTACCCTGGGTGTGAGGGTAACAACTCTGAGAGAGCTACGGTGAATTAGCAGTACACGCATACTGTGTTTAAGTAATAAATGTTTGTTGATCTACACTACTGAGATTGAGGGATCACTAGTTACGATGGCATAAATGGGCTAAGCTGACTAAACAAGCTCTTTAAAGTCTTCACAAAAAATAGCAAGAATATTCACACATAAATGTCTTACCACACAGAAGTCAACTCGTACAACTACCCCTGTCACTCCTCCAGTGTCTGCCATATTTTCCTCTGCTCTCCCTTGAACATGCAGACAAGCTCTGGCACCTCAGAATCTATTTCCTGTCTATCCCTTCTGTCAGTAATTCTGTTCCTTCAGGCGTCTGGATGGTTTTTCCCCTTATCTTTTCCTAGTCTTTGTATAAATGCCACCTCTACCTCACTAATTTTGCTTTTTTTTTCCTCCTTTAGCATGGATAATAAATCTTATATTTCATCTATGGCTTTCTCTTCTGATTTCCATCCTAAAATGTTAGTTCTTTGTGTGTGCAGGACTTACCTGTTCTGTTCATTGCTCTGTTCCAGCCCCTAGAGCTCAACCTAGTGAATGACAGTCAAGATATAAAACTTCACAATGCTTCTTGGAAGAGCCAGTGTCAGAGAGCAGAGGGAGCTAGACTCAGTAGCAAGCAGAGCTTCCACGTCTCTGGTCACGGCACAGAGTGAGGGGTAAACATCTCTTTCTGAGAATCATCCCTCAGCCTGCCTCACCAGTGTTTCCACTGTGAAATTCTAAAATTATCCAACAACCTTCCAATAAATTATTACTCCTTCTTAAATTAGGTCATCTTTGTTGTGTATATATAAGAAACTGGGCTAGCACACCCTTCTACCTAACTACAGCTTCCTTGCCCACAAACCTAATGTACAGGCTTATATTTCCAAAACTTACAGAGTAAGTGACACAAAACAGAAATTCAGTAAGTGTAAAGAAAGGCTGTTATCTTAATCTGAATAGTCAAATAGACCAAAGTTAAGTTTCATTTGAATCACAAAATCTAGAAAACGCTTACATGGTTTACAAGGTCTGTTCATTTAGTTGTCTTTTAGTAGTCATTAAAAGTTAGAAGACAAAAGGAAAAGTGATGGTTCAGGAAACTACTGCAATGAAAACAGGTAATGAAAATGTAGGATATTAATCTATTTAAATTTATACAAGAGACTAAGGAACTGAATTAAGTTACACAAATCTCTCAATTAAAAAAATAATATAACTTCTGTTATTAAAAGGTCTCACATTTTGCTGACATTGCTTAATTTTTGTAATAAATTAATTACACTTACATTAATATCTATGAGGCATAATCTCTATAACAAATGTTTGAATTAAAAAATATATTGCTGCAAAAGACAAACTTCACTCAAAATGCTTAAACGCCATTTACTGCATTCAAAATACTTCCCTTCTCTTCAAACATGATTATCTCATATTCTGGCCCCTTTCTGAAGCTGTTCTGAAAGTTCTTTTTCATGAATGTCTTTTATCACTTCTAGGCCTTTTGGCTAAAATCAAGTGGAGTAGTTTTAATGGCTGCTTTGATGTACTGAAGTGATTCAAAATAGGTATGAAATTACCATCAAATGAAAAGTTTATGATGTGTCCTTATCCACAATTATTCACCAGATATGGCACTATGTATCTTCTCTTTCCTGAAGTCAAAGTGGCTATGATAGATACATGTTTTGAATGAATTCCAGACATCAAGGCAGCTACAAGACATGGAAAAGGTCTTCTGCAATCGCTTCAGAGAGTGGCAAGAGCAGTGGACTGAGAGTATCTGAGGCCAGGTGAAGCATTCGGAAGACGATTAATGGCTATGAATCTTTTACTATAATACATTTTTAAAAATTAATTATCCACTATATATTTTGATCATATATTGTATTATTTTACTTAGCTCCAAATATTTTGTGCATTACCAACTTCTAAACTTCTAATTGAATTTTTATGAGTTTAAATGCACAATTTTATATCAAAATGATAAATAATTGATTTGCAAATTGCAGCCAGTAGTGATACATTCTAATGAAATTTAGTAGTCACAAAATAATTAGAGTGGTTAGAAGAGTACTGATAAATTTGTATACAAAGAAATATCCTATTTCTGAAAAAAATAGTTTAAGACAAATTACAAACTGTAAAAGGAGTCCCAAAACAGATCACCAAAGTTTAACAATGCCACTACAAAATTCTAATTTTAGGAGTACAATTACAGGTTTAAGTATTTTTTGGTCAGGTGGTATCTTTACTTTTCATACTGCTAACTTATTGAAGTATATCTTCCTAAATACTCCTTCAAATTATTAAATACTTTTAATGTAAAAGATAAATTCTTCCACTCTTTTAGTGTTTATGAGAATTATAAATCCTGTGTTTAGATGATGTTTAAACTATCCATTCTTTCATGACAGCATAAAGTATAATAACTTATAGGTGCCATGAAGGATACAGAGATAAGCTGCCTCCTCTAATCATTCACAAAGACAGACGTTCAAGTAGGCTGAGGTTATGTAACTGTTACAGGGCAAACAAAATAATAAGGGGAAAGTGTTTTGGATGTGTTTGTTTTACAAAATATGAGGGTGGGAAAGAAGAGGAATTGACTTGAATATATTATGTATTTAAGATGTAAACTAAGATATATCTACTCCAATTAGATAATCAGAAGTAAGGACAGTCAAAAGTTGGACCTTTTAAATATTAAACAGATACAACAAAGCAAGAGACATTTCAAATGTAACTGAAACTTATCGAGCCAAAATTAGAGTAATTTAGAAGAAAATACTGCTTAATTATTAAACATTGCTTAATAATAATTTATGGCAGTATCCAAAAATATCTAGAAATATATATATTTAAGCTTTTTGTAGTGTCACTTGAGTAGAGCTAACACTGAAATACCTTAGCTTTTAAGTTAAATTATCTTCCAGGAAAATATGGCAAAACAAAGGTGACATAATGCACCCCATTCTAGGACCTAGTGAAATTTTATGTTTCCTGAATAAGTACATATCATTGCAGCAAAACTGTTTTCTCCAAACATTAAGCTTTTACTTTGACTTCTGCACATGCAGAGCAACAAAAGGTATTTAAAAACTGTAGCAGATTGGAGAAAAGTCATCATTTTGGAAGAATTTTAGCTAATAAATATAAATAACATTGAGAAAGAAAGCACTAGAAAAATCACCACTTTGTAATGATGACAATATTTGCAGTAAAAGGAAGAGGTTGCCACCCCTTTTATCCAGTGATCAATCACTAACAGATCATAAAGACACAAGTCCAGGCAGATGAGCTTCCTGACAAGATGCCTTATAAAGAAGACAGCACAACCTATCAAGTATTTTTGGAAAAAAAAAAAAAAAAAAAAAAAAAAAAAAAAAAAAAAAACCAAGCTGGACTTAATCAAAGCTTTATATATAAATTCCAATTAATTGGAAATACAGGGGAGAGCAGTTTGAAAACTTGAGCTATCAGAAGACTTTTCAAGTAGGCAAGGTTGCTTGCAGAGCTGTTATTACTGTCATGTCTGAATTATGGGATCTGTAGAAAGATGAGGATCAGAGAGCCGAAAAGGGAAGTTGTGGTAAATTCACAACATTCCTTGAAAGTCATACCAAAGACCTTGGATTTTATGCCCAGGTCCAAATTTCTCAGATTAGCCTGGGATATTCATATGTAGTCCTCATTTTTAAAAGGATGAGATGAATGTCCTTCCATTTCACATAAATCTAAGAAACATTCAATTAATTGAATGGTAATAACGGTCACTGGCACATTGCTGCAGAAATATCCATTAAGGTGCAGCACAGTATTTGCACAATTTAAGGAACCCTTTTAAATTTTTCAGAAAACATCCGTTATCCTGTAAGATGGAAATATGGAAAACACTGCCTTTGGGAAAACAGCAACATGTCTCGGAAAGCATGGAATATTGATCTGGGGAGCACGTTTAGAGGTGAATCCTAGTGGCAGCACCTCGGTGAGGCAAGGAGCAAGGGCAGATTTTGCAGCTCAGGTGTGAGACACTGACGTTGCACAAACTCCGGGTATTGCTGTGGGATGGGATGGGCACCAAATACCCTCGCTAATATCATACCAGAAACTTACTGCAGAGATTTTACAGCGAGCACAACAGAACTGCTGGATTAAAATACTGAGGTTCTCACTCGACAGAGCCAGCCGTCTGCAATGCCACTGTTCAAGAGAGAGTAGCTGTGGCAGTGGAGAAGCACATTTGTGGCAGAATCACATGATTTCTGTGACAGTGAAGTGTATTTACCTAATACCTACCATCTTCCCATGTGGAAACTAAACTTTTGCATGACTGAAGTACAGTGCATATATTAAGACACGAATCCTACATGTGCTTTTTAAATTTTTTTTTTTCTTACAGAGTTTCTGAAATCATTCCCTGGCTCTACTTACCCACAAGGTCTATAGGTGAATACAATGTAACTCTCTTCATCGCTTCTTTCAATGAAAGTCACACAGGTATGCTTTTCCCAGTGTCTCATGGCCTGCTTGAACATGGCTCGCTGGCTGCCTGGAAAAATTGCATGTCTTTAATGAGTACTTGACGGTGCTGGCTCCTCCATGCTAAGCCTGGCAGGGCAGGGCAGAAAATGCCACTGCTATCATCAGCCAAAAAAGACCAGTTTACAGCACCACAATGGGTCACTGTCAAGAATCGACACTCACTTTATAATCAGCAGGTTAAGGTTCACTATCTCTACAAATATGTGTGTACAAGGCGCTATAAAGGGTCGATACATTCCTCCTGTCATATGAAGAGAAGTAAGTCTCCAGATTTTAATGGGCACATTTGAAAGTTGGTTTAAAAACCGTAAGAGTACTTTAGACTCTTAGAAAATAAGACTAAAAATATTTTCTCAAGCTCAAAGAAATTCTAAACTAGTAACCTCGGTGAATGGAGTAGTTTTGCAAATTTGATTGAACAGTATGTTTTTATGTTAATATTCTACACAAATACACACTTCATCTATATGATAGCTTCCATTTCTTTATCAAAACAGACACTCGGGGAATATCTTACCAGTAAAGTTGCCTCCTATGACATAAGGAATAACACCTCCAGGCCATATTCTTTCTGTTCTTGATGTAGCAGCTCTGGGAACTCGATTTTTCTCATTTTGCCCTGAGAATTTTTGAGGTACTTTTTCCTTAACTGTGCTGTTTTGCTGCAAGCCTGCAGTGACATTTAAAACATTCTGTGAAACAGAAGTCCTTGGTCAGGGAGTCATTTACCTCTTAAAGGACAAAGTTGAAATGTCTTATTTACATATTTGTATAAATATGCTCAAAGTTAAGAAAAATGCAGTGAAGTATAAATATGCTCAAAGTTAAGAAAAAATGAAGTGAAAAAAACATTAAAATATTTAAGTATTTCAAGTCAAAATACTATTTCTGAATGCTCTGTGAATGAATTTTGATGAATTCTCATATAACAACCTACAGAAGATAGAAGTCAGGTAGGCATATAAACCATAGGAAAAACTGTTTTATATTTTCTATCTTATTAATTAATTGCCAGTTTACCCCCAAATGATACAATGTTATTTAATAAAGTTCCCTCGTATTCAACATTCTTCTTACTCCAGCTAAATCCTTAATCTTTTAAGTTAGAATACATTGTAGTACAGCTAAAATTATGAGCAGTACATTATATATAGATAGGTTTAAAAATAGCGCAAAGACAAATGTAGTCTCAGCCACCTGAGACCATCTGCCATCTCGCCTGCAGTTTCCTCTGGATTTGTCTCCAGGGAGACTTTGAGGTCACACACCACAGAAACAGGTTAACATAAAATCCAGCCCATCCTGGAGTAGCTTCCAATTATAGAGTCCTTTGCTATTCTTCATGACCTTCCATATTTTTCCTATTGTTTTTCTTTGTCATAAATATGCATGATTATTCTTTCTTATTCATCTCTCATTGTTGATACAAACAGCTTCTCACTAATAAATGCTTGCTTTAACATAATAAATATTGAACATACACAGCCTCTCCACTTAAGTCTCTAACAAGTCTAGCAGTTTCTTTACTGAGGTAAATCACTCTTGGAAAGTATGTATTCAAGAATTTCATTATAATTCATCAGTTTAATGAATCTTAGAATATGAACAATAAATTAAGGATTTTTTAAAAATTTTAAACCTATAATAGTGGTTAATAAATTCAATACTATGAAAATTAATTTTAAAACCAAACCCAGTGTTCTTAATACCATATATATGATTCAATGGTAAAAATATTAATTATTTTAATCTAATAAATCAGTCTACCAATTTAAAATAAGTAGTTCTTATATTATTACCAAATAGTTATGACATTTGACTAACATTGGTTGACCTCCATGCTTTATAAAATATCTTTATATGATATCAAATTAACTGGGAAAGGTTTTAAAAATAAAATAAATACCTAATACATTTTAATAAGGAGAAATCTAAAATAAGTTAACGAAACACTTCAAAAGGTCCCAAATTAAATTCTAAAAGTCTTACACCAAATACAGACTAACCAAGTAAAAATGAATACATTGCTTTCTAAGCATAAAGCCTCTGCCTCACATCATAAAGCTACATGGATTTTTAAAAACACTAAACTGCGATGAGTATAATATTCACTGTACATCAAGTCAAGCGCCTGCAACTCTAAACAATGATATACCAGAACCAATTCTTCTTATCCGGTCTATAAGTTGATAGAGAGCCCCTCGTTTCTTTGCTATAGCATGGTCGCCAAGTCCACCTTAAAGGATAAGAAAGAATAATTAAGTTAAACTCTAATGTTCCTCAAAGTTCTTGCACATAAACAATACTAATATGCCATACTGATTTCTCTTCAGACATCATTTTTATATCGTATTGAAATTAGGAATGTCTGTGAGTCTTTGTAGAGGGTAAAAGTTCCACAGCAACAAATGTTGGTAAGGAAAAACAAGAAGCTATCATCTGGGAGATTTAAGGAACATCTAAATGACTTTATTTGGACATCATGACATTTGAGTGACTGTTGATAATTTGAAGTATTTTCCTTCACTGTGACCTTGACATCACATATTGTTATATAAAATGACTGCAAGATATTTTGACCTATTGATTGCCCTCCAGTTATTTTCCCTATGAAAACTGAATATTTTCAGAAGCCAAATCAGCAAATGGAAATGTACATATTAGGAAAGCAGACCTGCAGATAGTGCAAGTTGCATTCTAAAACTTTGATAAATTCTGAAAAAATTTAAAATCACATCAAATTCTATCAAATGAGTTTTATAATTTCTAATTAATAACAATTTGAATAAAAAACATAAGGTAAGAATCCAAAAGTTATTCAACTGTAAAATGCATTCTATTGCAGTACACACTGGAAAAAAAAAAGGAAATGCAAAATGCATATGGAAGAGGATTGGAGAGGAATGAGGAAATATGCCTCTTCTTGATTTAACCAATAAACATTAGGAAAATTGAATTCCTAGCATATGCTGAAAAGCAGAACACTTGGCAAATGATCTTGAAAAGCCAAGACCCTTGATTTTCATTTCATGATTCCCACAAAATGCTGGTTGTGTCCTCTATTTGTCCTACTGTCCTTGAATTTTTACAGATAAGTAAGACCCATCATTGAATAAACAGCCAATAACATGAGAACTAGTAACATGAGAACAAGTGCGGATGCGTTTGCAGCAGTCAGTAACTATGCTTCACAAGATTCTCTAAGTTATGATAATGAAAGTCAAGTCAGGAAGACAACCAACTCTTCTCACACTATAAACCAAACCTAATACCTGAAAAGCTAAAAATAAAACAACAATAAAATCTACTGCCTCTTAAGTGGAAAATCAAGTACGTCCTTATAAGGCAAGTAATTTACAGAACTTGCTCACTGACTCATAATCTGCCTAATTATTTGCATTACAGGGTCACATTTTTCTCTCGCCATCTGGGGAAAAATTTTTGAAATTTTTTTCAGTCAATCTTTTAGAAAGATGAAGTCATAGTTAAATGCATTCATTCCTATGTAGTTACAAAAATATTTTTAAAGAATGGCATCTAAGGTTTGAAATGACTATTGTATGGCAACTATATTTATATTAGAACAGCCTGAAGTAGATAGAAATAGATTTATAAAGGGGCTACTTATGAGAAAAAAGCACTTGTTAATACTGACGTAACTACAAGGGTAATTGTAATTATAGAATTGAATAAACAGTGTTTCAAAGCTATCAAAGACAATGACGTTTTATATAATATTTTAACAAGTTTTGAAAGATTTTTATATCAATTGAAATACAACTCTGCATGGGTAGCTTACTAAAACAACAAAAAAAAGGAAAAATGCTTATTTTTGGCATGTTCTAAAACACTAAATAAGTACAAATTAAATACATACTTATGAAAAAAGTATACTCTAAATTAAAAGATAATTAATGCAAAACAAACAAGTTAAAAAGAAAGGAATAAAAGAGAAAGAAAAAAATATATACTATTATAGTGTTTGAAACTGACCTGAAAAGTGCAAGATGCTACAAGTGCAAGTTGAGGTTTAAGATATATGTGCCTTTCATATTTACATTTAGAATAAATGTTTTAACAGTATACACAATGGTTTATTGAATGTTTTTTAAATATTTTTGTGGATGTACTATCACAAAGCTTAATTTTAAATGAAATATCAAATGACAGTGGGACATGATGGCATGCACTTCACAACCTAGCACAATGGGAGGCTGAAGTTTGAATGAATTTAAGCCCAATCTGGGCAATTTAGGGACTTAACAAAACTCTGACTGGAAATAATCTTTTTTTTTTCCTTTGTCTTTTTCCTTTTTATCAGTACTAGGTATCAAACTCACAACTGCCTGCTTGCAAGGCAGGTGCTTATGCCACTGAGCTAAATCCCCAGCCCCTGGGGAAATAATCTTTAGAGACATGTCTCAATGCAAAGACCCTGGGTTTAAATTGTAGAACTAAAAAACAAAAACAACAACAACAACAACAAAAAAAAACACTAGAAACATTTAAATCACAGATAATTAATGGCTTCAATATAATAGGGGAGAAGTTAAAGAAATATCCTGAATAAAATTTAAAGCAAAGGAAAATTTTGATGTAAAATGCAATTGACAATGAACCCAGGATTTGGCTGAGTGGTCTCACAGTTCCACTGTCCAGAATAAATGTCTTTCATGGCAGTGTTCAGAAAGATACAGGAACTGGAGCATCTGCTACTGAACGTGTTCTACAGAAACATACTGGAATTCTACTGAGAAGCAAGATTTTCTCCTATTTTATGGTATGTTTCAAAAATAAAAACTATCACTGCTAGATGCAGCAAAAGCTAAAGCATGTTAGGCTTACCTAGTATTATTATTTTACATTAAACTTAGGTTTTCTCTTATACACTTTTTGTTTAAAATAATTGTTTTGTGATAATATTTTGACTACACTGGGCATTGTCCTCATTCTTAAAGGGTATATACTAAACTACTTAGTAGTAAAGTGTTTTGATATTATTTGTTTGTATATATTTCTGCAATCAATTTCAAATGTTTTCATATACACTGATGCGAATACAGGCACACACACACAGCAAACTGGTAAGCTGTTAAAAGCACTAATTGTACAGCTGGGGATACGGCTCAGTAGAGTTCTTGGTTTGCATGAGCAAGTCCCTGGGTTTGAGCACCAGCACCACAAAAAAAAAAAAAAAACAGTAAACAAAAACACTGAATCTAAAAAGTGCATTAAACAAAAATGTATTGATTCACTGTCAAAAATCTTACATATGCTATATAGTTGTCTGCTGAAAAAAAAGAAAGTAACTACATATTTTATTTTTTGTGTAATAAAAAAAAATAAAAATAGTATACAGAGGAAAGTAATGAAATCAAAAGACATTATATGAAACAGCTTTTACTATAACCAGAAACTAGAAAATGATATTTTATCCTCTTATTCTCATATTTTTTCCTCCAAAATATAACATGGAATAAAAATGTAAAATACAAAGAATTTTTAAATTTTAGTAGAACATATTTTTAAGTAAGAACTGAAGTAATCTTTGAATTATTGTACTTCTTATACAGGTATAATTCAAACTTGTTCAAAACCCTAAAGTTAAATTTTCTTCTGAACTTTCGTAAGATAGTCACATGTCTCTAAACAAATTTTCATTAGTTACTCTTTTTAAGAATCATTTACACTTCACAACTGAATGACCAAGTGGGAGACAATGGGGCCTTTCTTAGAGTTGAATTCTATTTCTAACTGGGCCACCTCCAGATTATGTGACAATGAGAAAGCCATACAAACTTTGATCTCACTTGTAAATAACAATCAGTATTAATGGTGACCCTCAGAAGTTTGTTGTGAGGATTCAAAGAGTTAATATCTGCAAAGCAAAGCCAGGCCAGGCATACAGCAAACACTCTAATGTGCTTGTTATATAAAGTTATAAAATACATACTATGAATAAACCTAAAATGCTAAGCATGTAGATTCCTGTGCAAGAAAACAAGATTGGCCAGTGAGACATTAAAAATGATGCAGAGTATTCATACCATTTCAAGAGTACATTTTCTCCACAGTGAGCACAGATTTATCCAAATAAGGAGTCATACCTGTGGTATGTCCAAGTTGTCCAAAGGGGTTCTGGGTCAGGTCAATTGTCCTATCTATTTGAAAGATATTTAAGTCTTCATCATCTAAGGCAATATCACCCCAAAATACAGCTAAAAGAGAAAAGGTGAATTAAAATGTAAAATATTTCACAGTCCAATGAGTGCACGCAAAGATAATTGGAAAAACATTACTGAAGTAATCTTAACTGGATACATTGGTCTTTTTACAGTATAAATATAAGCCACCTGTGAGAGAGTCATGACCCCCTGTTGTTTTTGGTTCTGTTCTGTTTTTACTTTCATAGCATTGATATTTGTGGAAAGGACAAAAAATAGTTTCCTTAAATGAGATACTCAATGACTGACTGGCTTGGGAGTGTTCTAAAAAAAGAGAAATCGTCAGTCATGAGCTTATTGGCAAATCTGCGAAAATCTGAGAAGGGTGCCCATACTTCCTATGGATGCTTGTGACCAGTCACAGGTCATCATTAGTTGGGAAAGGAAGAGTAACAAGTAAACCATGGGCTGCAAACTAAAGTACAATCAAGACGAAAGAATATATTGCCATTATAGCAATGCATTAATTAATTTAATACATTTACAATGCACTTCTCTAAAGCCCATTTATTGCCTCGAGTCTCTACAGAATGAATATATAACTACCAAGATAATATTTAAATCAACATGCATTTGGGCAACAATTAGTTCCAGATCTTTGAGTTTTTATGACAAATAAGATCTGTTCAATATTTTCATCATTACTTTATGATCTAGAAAGCACTCAGACTTTATCTAGTGCTTCATGCTACAGAATTAAAGCAAAACTCTACAACTCATTGTGAAATAATGGAAAACTCATTCATAAGGAGGATGCAAACTTTTCTCTACATTCAGAAATAACATTCACATAACAATGAAATGGTCTTGTTTATTTGAGACTAAATTAAACCAAGTGAGTCTTTGTAATGTCAGATGTCAAAATACAGGGACTTCAGGAAACAGAAAACTTGAGAGAATAAATTGAATACGACACAGGAAAATGTAACAACTGGGTAGAAGTATTAGGATGTTAAATTCGATGATTCTTCTGCAAAACCAAAGGGGAAAAGAAGAGCTACCTTTAAAATTTAGGAAGTACCAAAAACCTACGTTTTTATAATTACTGCGTTTTACTAGACACAGATTTGAATAATATATTTATGAATATTAGCACAACCAAAAAAGAGTTACATTAGCTAGCATGAAAGTTAAACCAGACATTAAAGCTATGAAATGTTTTTATTAACTAGTTTTATTTCTTCCTTCCTAAATCCTTCTGAAACAGGAAGGGTTTAGATGTCTATGTTGAGCTAGAAAAAAGAAAACACGTTTCAATTTGGGATAGGTTATCTGTTTCGTATATGGAAAACCCTTTCTTAAAATTTGAATTCTCTTTTCAACCACTACTTTTTTCCCCATTACCAACAGTCTTCCCTCTTGCCTGCAGGATGCTAGAGTCTAATAGGGGTAAAGAAATGTTTCTTATCTTTCCTATGACTTTCACTGTCATAGAAACATCACCATGAAGAGTCTATAAAAGCATTTAAAACACTAGATAAGAGATTAGTGTTGATATCTAAAACTGAAGTCTAGATTCTAAAATTGAATTCAATTTCATACACTAATGCAGGAAAAAAATAAAAACAAAAATGTTCTAGCGTCCCTAAAGCCAGATAACCCAGGACAGAGCTGACCAATCAGAATTTAAAATTTTAAAATTAGAATATAGGGCTTGGTTTCATTAAAATAAGGTCTACTTCTTACAAGATGCTACCGTAAATGTAAATTTGCCAGTTATTTAAAACTGCTAGCAAGTGTATTTCTATACAAATAGCTGTGGGCACTGATAGGGAGAGACTCTCGGCCTGACTCTTTCTTCTTAATGCTGAAGGGCTGGAGCAAACAGACAGTCAATCAGTGCTTATCCAACTTTCCTTTGCGCAGAATCACAGTGAATCTGCTAAAAATGAAAATTCTAATTTATCCATCTGGTGAGGAACGTCAGGTCCTTACATTTTTAACAAATTCCCAGTTCCTAAAAAATAATTATCATTGTCCTCGTCTTTCTTAGCATCTTTTTTTTCTGCAAGAATAAGTTTTCACTCTTCTGAGTCAGCTGATGGATAGGAAAGCTGAGACACCTGACCAATCGAAATGTGTGCTTGTCAGTACTACATTTTCCATAATAAATGGGGTACCCATAAAACAGAACTCAAACGTGTTTTAGCTTTTTATGCTCTTGTAATGACTTCGCGCAGGCAGCAGGATTCATGCCCTGATGGATTATATGAAACACAGATCATCAGTCCAAGGATAAGTCACTTCATAGAAGCAAAAACATTACTTCTGGAGAGAAAAAAGGCAGGAGGCCACATGATACTTACAAAGGACGCAAAACAGTTTTGGAGGACATTAACCCATTTTATTTATCTAGTATTTTTTTCTAATCTAATAGCTTTGGAAGAGCTTGGCAGTTCTGAATACATCATAAATTGCTTCAGAAAAAGATCAAGTACTCTTTTGGATGCAAGCAATAGGGAATGTTGATGCTGATTCGTTTACATGCCAATTCAGTGAATTACAGACCATGCACATCTTTAAATCTTGATATGATCAACAGAAAAAAAGACATTTTAGAACTTCAACCTGCTATATACAGTAGTTTAAAATGCACGATATTTTTCTTCATATTCACACACTAAAAGTTTCTCTTATTGTATCTCTACTCAAATGTAAGTATCCTATTTCTGTATGTTAAAGTAATTTACTTACACATTGGAACAGCAAGCTGGAGCATGAAAATATGTATTTATAATTCACATTACAAGCTAAAGTATATTTTATGTTTAGTTGCAGAGATACATGAAATTAACCACTCCACTTTGGAATTTTTTGTTTTCCATTTTATCTAATATTTTCTATTTATTTTGTATTAAAACCCCACAAAAATAGTCAAATAATTAAAAAGTTTGGATTATCACTTGGTTCATTTGTAAGGTGATTTAAAATTTTTTAGGTGAGAATTAAAAAAAAATGGGAAATTGGTTCACAGAAGACAATCCTACCTAAGGAAATTAGTTAGAAATTAGAATATTCATTATCTATTTGGAATTCTGCTTAGATTTGGAGGGTCAGAAGAGAGGGCGGGTAGAGGTAACCAAGAAGCTAAGATGAAATATCAAGAAGAGCAATTTTCAAACTACATAGAAAACCACAAGTTTTGTTTTTCTCTTAAAGGTCATTTCGCTTCAATGAATTATAAAAATTTACAAAAAAAATCAAAAGACATAGAAAGACAGCAAGCTTTTGTCAAGTATGCAGAGTAATGCACTTTATAAAATAATATATGGTAAAAACAAGAAATCTAACATCATAATTCTCTACCACTATCTTTTAAAGACGTCTCTTTCATCTACTTCCCGATTTGTCATTGATCTTTGGCTGAGGCTTGGATCCAAAGATGAGTTATAGAGGTTTCAAGTTTGTGATTTCTGAAAAGCTGTATGCAAAATATGCATCTATATGGCTTTATAAAACACTGATACCATATTTTTTCTGTGGAAATGTTTTCTGATTAAAAAAGATTCCACAAAGTAGAGACTATTCTTTGCCTAAAGCAAAGCCTATCAGCCCACTTAGAGGAAAATGCTACAAAGTAAATACTCCCTAGAAGATGAATACATTCACTTTAATTTACAATTCCTGACCACTAAAATACTTGATAACCTGAGAGCATAATGTGATTTTAAAAAAAAAGGCATTGTCTACAGAAAGCCTTCCCAGTAATCTTCTCCTCAGCTGGCCTCGTTAGGGCTTTGATAGGCTTTTGTGTCATTGGGTAACTTTTATCAGTAGTCAGCCATCGAATTGAATCTTGTAATTAATTTAGTAATTTTAAAGCATCTGATTCTTTAGTCTGATTTTCAAACTAAAAATCACAACAGGTAGCATATGATATTCATTGTTATTTCTTTTTTGATAAATTAATATTTAAAGAAACATTAAAATTTTTACATATAAAAATGGGATGGTATTTGAATACAAGTCTACACTGTGTAATGATTGAATCAGATTTACATATATCTATCTTCTCAAGTACTTATCAGTTCTTGATGATGAAAACTCAGAATCTGCAAGGGCTTTATAAGCAGCCACTTCTCAGAGTTTCCCTCTGGAAGCGTTTCCTCCTGTGTACTGACCCCTGTGCAGCAACACAGGTCTGTTAAAATAAAGACTAGCATTTTGTGGTAATCAAAATCTTTTATTCTACCTTTTTGAGGTATATGGTACATTGTTATTATCGATATTCAACTGACCTTGCAATAGTACTCAAAGGCCCCAATACCAGAGTACCAAAAACAAATAGCTCCTCAGTATACATATACTAGCAATTTTCTAAAAATGTGAATGAAAATATAGCATGGGTTTATGTATAAGTTGTATAAGAAAAATGAAGCTAAGCATGCTATATATCTAGTAAATTTGCCTTAAAGACAAAATACTATTTATTTACACATTTCAAAGAATGACTAGGATAAATATGTTCTCTTTTCTCTAAATACCACACTCACAGTCTCAGGAAATATATGACAGACTTTGAAGTCCAGTTATTTTGATATTTATAGGACCTGGAGAGAAAGCTCAAAGATTCAAGGATAGCCAAGAACACTTTCTCATTACACTTTTTCCACACGATCTTTAAACTTTCAGCATTTATTGACACTGGATTTAGGGAGGAAAAATGATGTAATGTGAAGGTCTAGCAGATTACTTTGACTCACAGTCAAGTATAATAAAAATTTCCTCAGAGAAGGGCAATGGTGAAGACTCAAAAATCAACTATTTTCACATGATTGACAGCCAGTAAGCAAATTCCCAAGGAAATGTAGGATTTAGCATTAAGTTCTAATAAATACATTTTAGAAGCAATGGTATATGAGAAGAAAGAAGATAATTTCCTGTTGGCTTTTTATTTTTACAGAATAAATTTTTCCCCAAAGCGACATATGAAAATTAATATAAATTCCAATTTTGAGAAACAACTATCTAAAATTTTAGAAACTTGATACAAT